TCTTCACTTCATCTCTTGACCATCCCTGCCCCAACCCACCTGGTCTAGGGGTACTGAACTTCCTCTACTTCCCCAACCATACCAAGCTGTTTCTTGCCTCTATGTCTTCCCTTCTTCACTTGCCTAGCTCCCCCTCTTTTCCTAGAAATTCTTCCCTGAAGAATTCCCAAGCTTGTTTATGATTCATTCTTCCTTTGTCCCATTGCATTCAGTGCATCCACCATCACAGCATCTGCCATAATATTAAAATGTGTTTTATTTCTGTGTGTGTCTCTCCCACCGGACTGAAAACTCCTTGAGGAAACCGGTGCACAATAGCCCAGCTTCTCACTCACTCAAAGATCAGATTTGGTGTCAGCTCTCAGAAAGGCCATCTCTGATCACCTGGCACACCTTCACTTGTTTCATCTGTCTTTTTTTTCTTTACTTATCACTCTTTGATAGTCCTTGTTTGTTCAGTTTTTGTTTACAGTTTTTCTCCCCACTAGAATATGAACTCTTTGAGAGCTGAGGCCTTTTCTGCCTTGTTCACCACTGCCTAGAAAAGTCCCTAGTATATAGTATGGCTTTAATAAATATGCATTTCTCAAAACCAAATTAAATGGGGAATTGATGGATGGATGGACACATAGTGAGAAGTCAATAAATTAGTTGGAACTGAATTAGCCTATCCCTATTAGATAAGCAGTATATAGGCCAAAATGGTAGCATGTTCATTTTTTAACACCTTGTGGGACACAGACCTCCACAAAACCTCGATATTTACTTCTGTGACTCACTGCCGTCAGCTGTCACCCATTGTTTTAATGTATCCCACTTTGAGAAAGATCTGTCATACCCTGAATGCCACTAGTGACATTCTACATGTTTCCTTCATGTTTATTTCTTATTCTCTCTCCTGGGATAAGTACATACACACCCCCCCATATAAAATAACAGCAGAAGAAAAAGGTCCAGAACCAACTTTTGAAGAATTACTGAACTCTTCACTCCCCTCAATTGATATTATTTTATTTGTGAGGCAGAGAATTGGCTTCAATTCCAGACTCATCTTTTACAAGTTTAACTGCCCTTCTCACCAGTTTCCTCATCGATGAAATAAGTGTGGTAACCTCTTTTTCGTGTAGTCTTATTTTGTTGATGTGAGAAAATACTTGTGAATGCTCTTTTCAGACTCCAGTATGCTCATCTAATATGTTGTTCATCAATTATTATTTCATATTTATCCCCTATTTGTTGATAGTGATGACAGCATATATCTCCATATTATCTGCCTTTTAAGCATCTTATTGTTCACTGCTTAAGGTCACTTAATCTTAGGTGTATAATCATTTGCATTCTGAATTGCAACTCCTTCATTAGTTTTTATAACTGTTGAATTTAATAGGACATTGGGGAAGTGGATAGCACAGGCAAAAGGAAATTGGATTTTGAACTTTTTATTATGATGACATCCATTTGATTGTATTCCAAATGATTAGTGAAGAAGAGCTGCTGTTGTGACAACTTGCAGTGTGACATGAAGAATAAGCCTTGGATTTGCTTATTAGTTTACTGTTCAGAAAAAAAAAAAAAACCCAATACCAACATGCATCACATATCACTTAAACTCTTTCTGTGTGCAAACCACCATGGGCACCTAAGGATGTAACACTGTGTAAGACCCAGAGCCTGCTCCAGAGAAGCAAAACATCCAGGATCACCTCGATAGTATGCTCTCAAGAGAAACATGCAAGCGGCTGTACAGAACCAAGCTCATTCTTTTCTAACAATTTATAGTTACAGAGGAAGAGCACTTTTTACCTCGTATTACCTCAGAGCTGGTGAATTAGGGTGTCATCATAACCCCAATTTTTATTTTATTCTTTCAAATTTTTATTTATATTCTAGTGAGTTAACATACAGGGCACTATTAGTTTCAAGAGTAGAATTCCCTGATTCATCACTTACATCCAACACCCAGTGCTCATCATAACAAGTGCCCTCCTGAATGCCCATCACCTCTCTAGCCCATCCTCCACCCACCTCCCTCTGTCAACCCTTAGTTTGTTCTCTATTGTTAAGAGTCTTTTATGGTTTGCTTTCCTCTCTCTCTCTCTCTCTCTTTTTTTTTTTTTCCTTTCCCCTATGTTCATCTGTTTTGTTTCTTAAATTCCGCATATGAGTGAAATCATTACGGTACTTGTCTTTCTCTGACTGACTTATTTCGCTTAGCATAATACACTCTAGCTGCATCCACGTCATTGCCAATATAACCCCAATATTTAAAACGAGAAAAACTGGGGACCGCTAGCCAGGAAGGAAGTAAGCTGATACTTCCTTCATTCAAGATGCATGCTTCATTCAAGAACCCCACACATAATCATGTTTCCTCTGGTGGGCTTTACTGATTGGCAACATACAGCATGTAAGTGAATGTTGTAAAAATTTATTTTTTAAAAAATGTGGGATTGAAGACTGAGAAAAGAAATACTAATAAATTTGACATCACAGCAATAAGATATCTCATGTAAAACTACTTTGTAAGCTGTGAAACCCAATAAAAATACATGTCACTTTATATTTTTTGGATTATGTTTCGTTTCAATGAATGTGTAGTGAGGGCATAACAAAAATTGGAAGTCTTATGGCAGAGTAAAAAATACACAAATACATGTTTTAATTGTTCATTTGTATTTGACTTACCTGATAATGCAACAGTTCCTGGCCCACTGTGTTTGCTGACATGTTAGTTAATAAGTGGAGGTTGGTAGGTTAAGAGTACCAATGAAGTAGACTTACTGAATAGTGTGGCTTGAGTTCTAATCTCTCTCTTTTAAAATGGTTACAGATTGGTGAGAATGTCTAGTTCAGCATAAGGTCTTTAGAAGTAGACACCTAAATGGTATAGAGTTCTTTCTAAGGCTATCATGTAGTTTAATTAATACATTAAACTAAATTAAGTTAAATTAAACCTGGCTCTCTCTCTCTCTGCTGTTCTACTGACTGGCCTACAATAAATGATCTCTTTGCCTGCTGTATTTTCCCATCCAAACATTGCACAAATCAAGGACAAGCATGCTTAAGACTCCTTTAAAGGCAGTGTTCTTAAAAAGCCAGCCTCCCGTGGTTGTCTAAAATCAAAGTACCATCATGAAAGTCTCTTAGTGCTTTTATGAAGTCTGGAAAGATCTTGAAGTTTAAAATAGAAAGCAAAACAAGAATCCAAAGGCTCAACATCTGAGTTTTGGGGGTTAATTTTTTTTTGAAATGTGAAAATCAGATGATTATCTATCCTAATACTGCAATTCTAAAAATGAATGGCTTCTTAATTTAATGACTTCAAAGTGATATAGTGCATCTTCCTAAAGGTAAATGATTTATCAGTTATCAATTACAGAGATGCAATTTTTGCTGTATTGATGCCATCTTTACTAACAAAGTCTGATTAAGATGATTACTTATCCACATATTTCCATCTGTTTTATAAAAAGCATTTCAAGATTTTAAAGCCTTGGAGAAATATTAGTAGGTAATGTGATTAGAGCTACTTATTCTCTGAGCATGGAATAGAAAAGAGAAACATGTTTATGCTTAATGAAAGAATGGTTACCAATGAGAAACATCTTTGGAACTTTTTAAAATACTATAATGCAACTGTAAAATTGTTTCTTTCATACTTCCATCCTCAATCTAAGTGTAAACATTTAATTACCGACAAATGTTGGGCTTCAATATTAATTAAAACCCAAAATATGCTTGGTGACAATCACTGATCAAGTTGACTTACATATATACTGACAATTCATAATGGCAGTGTGCTCCTCGCATATTTTTAGGAATTCTGATAAATTAGTATAGCATATTTTATAACAGGATTATCATACTATACAAATTGAATTTGACAAAAAGATGAGTATTAAATGTATAACTGAAATTAAGAAAACAAGGTATTACTTTTCATGTTATCATAATACTACTTATTCTGAATTTTCAAAACTGAATTTAAAAATAAATGTTGTTTGTGGTGAAATTTTATGAAATAAGAAATTCAAATATATATAAAAATATATTTACTTTTTAGATACATTTGCCTTCATTTCTAATTTTAAAATCTAAATGCATTTGATATCTGAAAACATATTTGCATTATATTATGCCTTAATGTTAAGATTTAAAAATTTTATTAAGAAATTTTTCTTAAGTTTCCAAGTTGCAAATTTAAAGAAAATTTCTAAAAGAGAATTAAAATGTAAGTGCAAAATGCCTATCTGTATAATTATGAATTTTGAATTTAAAATATTAGAAATATAAATATTTTAATATCTTGATTTACTTATTAGTGTACATAAGTTAAGTATAATGTCAGGGAGTTTACCTGTTTACTTTATAAAAATAATTTGTCTACATGTTTTCTATTACTCATAACATGTTACAAGTTATTATTATTAAATGTTGACAGATTTTCACTTTGCCCTTTTTGTTGGAAGCATACCTGCTGATGTTTATAAAAATTTAAGTTAAAAAAATTTATAGTAATGAGAAATGCTAAGTCAGTATAAAAATGATTTTGACACAAAACTCAGATGCAGGTTAGTCAAGAAATAATGGATTGAGGATATTTATTGAGGGTTTACAATTTACGAGGTATGCTAATTTCTGAAAACATAAAATATGAGATAGGCCCTTTAAGGGCATTGCCCTTTTGTTGATGTGATCAACAGCCAACAGATGACAGTGCATATGGAGACTCGTAATCCAGAAGGGCAGTATCTGTTGAGGTTGCCGCACTCAAAGCAAAGGAAGAAGAGTATCATGAAGAGAAAGAATTATTTTCTTCATGTGGAGGTCGATGACAGATCTGTAAAGTAGGTGTATGGAACAAATTAAATTTGTACAAATTAAGGCACGAAGGTACAAATTAAATTTATTTTAAAAATATCTCCTATCAAATCTCACAGGCACATTTTGAGAGTGATTTATTTCTGATACACTCACATCTTTTCCTGATTTGTTCCCAGAATGCTCAGGCCCATTGGGAATGGAAGGTGGAATCATATCAAATCAGCAAATCACAGCTTCCTCTACCCACCGAGCTCTTTTTGGACTCCAGAAGTGGTATCCCTACTATGCACGTCTCAATAAGAAGGGGCTTATAAATGCATGGACAGCTGCAGAAAATGACAGATGGCCATGGATTCAGGTAACACATGGGATGGGACAAGGTAACTGCCAAGGAATGACCAGAATCATTTCAGAAAGAATACAAGTCAGAGCCCAAAGTGTGACTTTTCTTCATGGTCAGAGGATAGGATGAGTTAGTTGAGTCCAATTTGGGTATAAAATCTGAAACTGGCATATATGTCCATTGACTGAAAAGTGCATTAAGAGGGTTAAAAATGTTGAAATTCTTGGGCTATAAATATTACTATTTTAAGGTACATGTCAAAGAAGGAGGTTTTTACATACGCCATGTGTTCATTAGTACTGTGTTAACATTTAACAGCAACTTCTGACACTTGAAGAAAGTAAAAATTGCATCTTTTCTTTCTCTGTCTCGGAATTGGTTTCACGTGCACAAAACATGTAAAGTATACAGTAGATTATGAGAATCCCTAAAATGCCTTCTGCACCTTCTTTTAATAGCTGAGAGTGTTTCAGTTCATACTGTTTTATTTATTACCATCAGCCAGCTTTTTTTTTTTTAAACAGAAAGAGCATGATATACCAAGATAGTAAGTGATTTCCCTAAAATGCGATGGATGGTAGTAATACCAGAACCTTCTGTTTTATCCAGTTAAATGCTTTTTGATGACTTAGCTGAAGGGAGACAGTAAACTACATAATAAGAGGACAGAAAAGGTGATTAAACCATGATTTCTGGTAAAGATTATATCTGTGTTGAGGAGAGCACGTTAATAACATCTAACAAGTCATCGATGTGTGTTGAAGAGAAGGAAAACCCAGTGTGCAATGCGTTTAGTGGAAGACATAATTAATTATCATGAAAAAGCCTTATGGGAGAATAGTTTTTTAGGTGGGCCATGGAAAATGGCTTTCAGTAGAGACTAAAAATCTATGGAACAGCATGATCAAAGAAATAGGTGAGAATCTGGGGAACATGATATAGAAAACCATGACTTGTGTATAGAGGAACATGTTCTAATTAAGTGTGAAGTATGTATGGAGTCTCCATACATACTAAAAGATTTGGGGCTTATTCCAGGGAACTATTACAGAATTTTGATTTAAATAGTTGAGCTATTTTGTTTACTATGTATTTTGAATCGGGGTAATTTTTAATGTGGAAATCCATGATTTGACATTATTAAGTGCAGTGTATAGGGATTGCTTTACAGGAATTAATAGAATGAGAAATTGATTTATTGCCAAGTAACATGACTTCGTTACCTTAGGAACTGGGCTAAAATCTCCTTTAGATATTTCCTTTGTTCAGGTTTCTTATGAATTTTTACATATCCTACCTATATACATTCCTTTTATCTATATGGCTCCACGTGGTTACCTGATATTGTTTTGTTTTATGCATTTATTTTTGCATGCATTTGCAGAAATTCCTTCTTAAATTACACTTGATTTTTCTAATGCGTAGCTACATGTGCAAAGAGAATTCCAGATAGTGGCTATGGCATATCTATACAGTTTTGATCCCAGAGTAATGAAGATAAAATTAAGGTTTAAAATAGATGCAGAACAACAAAAAATGCTTATCTTCTATTGTTAAAAATTATTGTGGAGACCATTTTTTTTAAATCACCCTAGTGGACTATTACCATCTGTGGGATTGCAATCATGATAAAACTCTGGAAATTAAGATTCGTAGCAGAAATTGCAGAATGATGTGAGACAATGTCACAAAACTGCGTTGGGGTTTCTGTTTGACAAATTATGTTTGCGAGCTTCAGTCATTGCCATGTTTTGATAAACCATAAATAACATACTTTTGCAATGTTTTCTCTGAGAAACACCTTATTAATATTTCACATCCTGACTTTTCACTTACTGTGTCCCAGTTTATTGCCCACTTAACTTACACATCATTCTACCTTTCAAAGTATGAATTAACTTTAAGTTCTCTTTATCACAGGAATTATAGGTAGAAATAACCTCAGTGGAACAGGACATTGGTTGACTCTTAGAAAAATTTAGATTAAATATAACTTTGTTAACTTGAGTAATTTATTTTATTTTATTTATTTTTTAAGTTGAATAATTTAATACCTCTTTTATTTTTAAGGGGGGTCTATCATTTTTATTGTTATTATTTTGCTTTTAGTCTGAAGATGATAATGAACTCTCAGAGAAAAGCAATATAAGTAAATAAAAAGGCTTTTAAATTAAATGAAAAAGCCTTGTGTATAATGGAGGGAAAACTGAAAACTCTCAATTGTCATTTTAATAAGTATTCTGAGATTATGTTCAAAGTTATTATATTATGTTACTGGATTCTTTCATAACATCTTATTTTCTGAGTTATTTGTTTAAAAGAAAAAGTGTATCCCTTTCTTAAAGGAAAATCATATCTAAGAGGCTCTGGGAAGTCTACTCATGTACCCAGTCTTCTGTCTGAGCATTATTAATTTCCCTTGTCACTTAATTCTTTTGTTTATATTCAGTACTTCAAATGAAACATTTGAGTACTTTGCTTAAACTCACTTATAATGAGCACAGTATTCCCTTACTCTTTCAGGTGTATGACACACATTAGTATTCAATTCCATTTTCTTCCTTGTCTAGGTGAAATGAAAATTGAAATTGCCATTTTAAATTTACACACTCAGTGGGCAATTATTGAAAGCACCACAATGTTTATAATTGGTTTTGGATTTAAAGGGTTAGTGCAACAAATACAGTTAAACAAAACCTTTTTCTCCCCATTTTCAGGTTTTTCTGACCTTATATTCCTTACCTATGTTTTTTTTTTCCCACCAATAAATACCCACCACATTGAACATTGACTAGATCATTAGCATCTTGGAATGTGAATTTCTCTTTCTGACTGATGTATTAGAAATAGCGACTTTGTATAATTATGGAAATATGTCTTGGGTTATCTTATATAAAAAAGTATAAGCTTATTTAATTCTTCTGGGTACTTTGCTGACTAAGGGGCTGAAGATGACTATTTGCTATTTATTTTTAAAGATAATTCTTTTATATTCATTATATTTCTTTTATAGATACATGCAGTGAAATATTTTTTTTAATTTCTGAGTTGATTTGTTTTATGCATGTACATTCTTTCTAGAATGCATATATATTACATTTCCAGCTAGTCATTTTATTCATCCATGCAACAAACATTTACTAAATGACTGTCTCCTCTGTAGTCTCTGCTCTACTAGGCACTAGAAGAAAGACAGCACTTTCCTTCAAGATGTTCTGAATCTAGGGGCACCTGGGTGGGCAGGTGGTTAAGCGGCCGACTCTGGATTTCAGCTTAGGTCATGATCGCAGCGTCCTGGAGTTGAACCCCGTGTAGAGCCCCACGTCAGACTCTGTGCTTAGCAGGGAGTCTGTTTGAAGATTCTCTCTCTCCCTCTCTCTCTGCCTCTCCCCCCTGCTCTTACACTCTCTCTCTCTCTAAAGTAAATAAATAAATCTTAAAAAAAAAAAGAAGTTCTGAATCTAAGGATATAGAAAAGTGAAAAAGATAAATATATATATTATATATATATATATATATATATATATATATATATATATACACACACACACACACACACACCGGTCTTACCTCATCTGCTAACCCTTTCATTTGGACCATAATATTTTATTATATTTGAACAGCCTATTCTAATAAAACTTTTGTTAAATGGAAAGCTGGTTTAGCATAATATTTATAGAACATGAGGAGAGGAATTGGCATTATACTAGGTATTACATAGCTATATTATTACATGCTGATCTGTTTGATGAGCATACCAAAGCGAAGTCATAATTTTCCTTTGAAAGTTAATTTACCAGTAGTAGTGTCAGTACAAGTATTTTATCACTGAGAAAAATAGGCTTTGATCTTTCCCTTTTAAATAATTCATTACTCTTTCAAAAAATGTGAATATGATCTTAATATGTTCCTTTTCTATATGCCACAAAGTTTTTGTGTGGGGAGAGATCCTTACTCCTCAAACTTTAATGTGCACAGGAATCTTTTGGGTTACTGGGTAAAAACAGAAACTTTGGGATTGCCTCTCAGACCTACTGTAGATCATCGTCAGACTACACTGAAAAAATATGTCTGATCAGCTCATAAACCCTGGATTTGGTCTGCCCGAGATACATTAAAAAATAAATAAAATTAAAATAATACTTTTGCTTGATGATCTGGGCACTTTGTTGTTGGAACTGCAAGTAGTGATAACTGTATAGAGTAGAAACAGAGGAAAGAACGGTGAAGAAAAATGAGGAAGGATAATGAGAAATATGTGGCCCACAAAAGTTCTCTAAACTGGATGGAGGTAGAACCATGTTAGATATCCTAGGCAGAAGTGCCCCCAGCTCTAGCAGCAATTCATAACAAGCATTATTCATTAGTCATAAAATCTTTAAGAATTTTCAGCAACTACTGGTCCCAAGTGGCTATAGATTCTCTTTGTTGTTGGAAAATTTAAAATATCCCAAAGCAAGACCATCTGAATTTTGTATTTCAAACAAAATAATAGTTACTGTGGAATACATGGGCCCAGATGAGAATTATGTGAGCACAAGTTGAGTTACAGATTCATATTTCTGAAGTACACATTTCATACATGGTTGGTTTTGTTTTTTTTTTTTAATCTTTGTGAACAGTAGGATTGAAAATGCAGCAAAAAACAGAGTAATCATCTATGTCATTTCAAAAGCCTGTATGTAATGTGTGTGAAACTCTTGGTACTCATAGACAGCTGGAGCTCCTTGAGATACAAAAACCATTTTCAAAAACATAGATTTTAAGAGGTAGATTTTTCTTTCATTTTCAGGTTGTTTTCTAGTTACAGAACCTGAATTACATAGACTCCACAATTCATCTTTACTACTTCTTCATTCAAGTAGAAAATGTTTTAGCCTGTGTTTCTCCTTAAAAAAATGCTACTTTCTCAGATACACTGCCATCCATACTAAACTCCTCTGTAAGACTAATGACATCTGAACATTAATGTGTTGCTGCTTCTAGTGATCTCTTTTTATAAACAGGAATCCTAA